AAAAAAAATATATCGTTTATTTACTTCTCATATCTACTAACATATTGTTTTCATTTAGTCGTTTACTTTTTCTTTTCTAACGTTATAAAAATATATTTATGTTAAAATTTATTTTCTCCAATTATATGTTTTATCAAACACATACATACAAAAGAAAAATATTTACGTCAGAATTATATATAAATGTATAGAAGAAAACAAGGGAAAAGTATAAATTTAGAAAAATAAAAATATAGAAATTAATTTCGTGTATATATATGACAATTCTTTTTGCGACAATCACATTTTGGTCTAAAAACAAATTTCTATCTATGAAAATATTATGGATATTTAATTAAATCTTACCCAGTAGCTTTGTTTCGAAATATTAAAGGAGTGACGCCATGATCTATAAAAGAAGAAAATGATTCAGTAAAACTAAATGAAGATAGTGATTGGAAAGGAATTCAAGACTTTAGGCTGATGTCTACAATATATCGGGCGTCTAATAAATATCGAATGTTAGTTGAAAAGGGTTTGTCCGTTTTCGTTCTTGCTATCCCAGACATCCGGTGGAATAATCGGATGTTCGAAATCGGAAATAGAACATAAAATCGTTGTACTGATGTTCGGAACCAAAAAATACCGGATGTCCGAAACATAAAATGTATTTTCTTATAATCATTGACCATTCACTCTTACGTACATCCGTCGTTTTCACTCCGAACATCCTGTCTTTTTCATTCCGATGTCCAAAAAAAAGCAAGGACGAAAAGGGATTACCTCCTTTTGGTAATAGTTACATTCACTAACTAAAGGAAGTTTTTCGATTTAGTTCATCTAAAGTTCGCAATAAGTTTTTATCCAATTAAATTATAAAATTTAGTGAATCGATAAAACCGATATGATCATAAATCTCGATAAAGTATTGACTTACTTTTATGACAAACAGATGCACAAGATTGACAAATCCCTAAATAAAAATATTTACAATAATATATTTTAAATTTCATCTTCATACATCTTAATGGTTGACCATTTCTTACACATTGTTTACATTCAAAATAATCAACTAGATGTTCTTGATTAGGATTTTCATTAAAAGTTTGTATAAAACATTGTTTTGGAACTTCACTCTCCAATAAAATATCACCATGAATAACAACAAGTGTTCCTCGTAACTATTTAAATGTTATCAATATTTAGATCAAGGAAAGAAATATTGAAACTCACTAATTTATGTTCTAAAATAGGTCGACAATTACGTGATACAGTTAATAGATCATTATTATTATCATCATCATCTGTATCCATTCTTCTGAGTTGTCTTATTACTGCTTGTTCGGATAGATCATTAAAAGGACTAAATATAATTAATAATATAAACTTAATCAAAAAAAAACATTATTGTTTCGTACTTAATACAAGTAAAAAATACAACATCACCAAGTTTAGATATTTTATCAGATTTTAATGTTAAAAGTTCATCCAATGCTGACAATAATACTGTCATTCTAAATAAAAAAAAGTACAGTTGATTTTTGAATTTTTTATTATATTAGATAAATATAGATATTTACTGATCTTCAGGGCGCATTAATTTTAGTAGATATTGTCCATCTTTATTCATATATAAATGATCATCTTTCCATAAAGTAACTCGAACTTGTGTTGAAACAGCACCAAAATTTGATACATGTTCAATAAGATGACTAAAATTAATCCGTCAATTAATCGTTTATAAATTTCATAGATTACTTTTTATATGCCTCAATAAAAAGTATTTGAACATTACGAATTTCTTCATCAAGTCCATTAATTTCTTGGCGAAATTGATCAGTTTTTTCCTCAAGTTCTCTTTTATATTCTACAAACAAATTAAAATTGTAAACTATCAAAACATTTCTATAATCATACGTTCTTTTGGTAATTTTTTTTCTTGAAGTTCAACTATAGCTCGATTAAATGTTTGTTCAATATCAGCTTTTTTACGTTTATAACGACTTCGCATATCATTTTCACTTGTTAAATGATTTGCTAATGAAGTTACGAGTGTATCTAATAAATATCAAGACAAAAAAAAAACGAAACTAAAGAAAAAATGAAAATAATCTAAATACCACGAAAAAGTTCTTCAAGAATTGTTCGTACTGAATTATCACCAATTTGATTAACAACTAAAGAAAAAATAAAATAGATTAATAAATTATAAAACAGATATGTACTTTGATTAGCAAATGATTTCGCTTTTTGTGATTCGGCATCTTGAATAGCTTTGTCAATTGTTTCTAAAGATGTAAATTGTCATAATTCATTAAAGAAAATAGAATGCGACTAAATATCTCAACCAAGTAAACTATTGTATTGAGCATCACGTTGAACATCTTCTTGTTGTAAACCTTTATTACATAATGGACATCGATGAGATGCATTGACAGATTCTAACAAAAACTAATCAGTTTGTCTTATTTATTTTTATTGAAAATTTTTACCTTTGATACAATTTTCACAAAAACGATGAAAACAATTTGTTACCCAAACATCTTTCATTATATTCAAACATATTGGACAATTAAATTGTTCTAATAAAGGTTCAGGCTTTTAGAAAAAAAGAAGAGAACTAAATACTATTATCAAGTATTTTTTTTATTGATTATAACATACTGAAATTAGACAATTAGCTGACATAGATGTTGCCATTTTTTTTAATTTATATCTTAAATCAAAAATATAGGGAATTTAACAAATATGAAGCATAGACTAAAAAATGTCGTTTTTCTTCCGTTCTTTTTCGACGTAAGTCATCATCGTTGTGCAATCAAATAACGTTAACATGCATACATTTATATAAAAACCTCAGTTTTATTTAGAGGGCAGTAGTTAACCAAGAGAAGGAAAAAAAACAAATTGAAATTTTTCTAATTTATTTTATATACAAAAACAAATTCATAATTAAGCAACAATAATTTCAATATTGTGTACTTTACTTGTTATACCATAATGACGTAAATGATGCCAAGATCTAATATGTTTATGATGATAATATAGATGAAACCTTTTACGTTTGCAAAATGATTCTTTCACATGTCCTTTGATAAATGAAACTTTATGATTTGCATTTTCTGGTATGTTCATAAACATTGCATTACCATCTGATTTTCGCACTATTTTTAAAATAATTTGTGGTGAAGGAGTGGAAAACGACGTCATATCATATATGTATAATGAAATTTTACTTTCGTCTGTTTTTGAAAAATAACAAATGACGAAGAAAGCACAACTATTTGTTCGCTTTTCTAGTTTGAACAAACCGTACAGAAAAATAAAAACTAAATACGGAAGAAATTTCATTCGTTCTTTCTGTTTTTTCAACTGTCGCCAAAAGGTACATTGAGATCATCTGATTATTTTCGAGTTAAATTCCTTGGAAAGAAAAGCAAGAGAATTCATCAAACAAAATTTCATGTTTTTTTTTTGTTGCAAAATAGAATATTTTCATAACTTTCAAAAACCTTGTATTACTATTAGTTATGTCAAAAAGAAAAAATATACATGAATAAAACAAAAAAAAATCTAATTATCTGAATGTGGAGATTTGATCATATTCATTGTACGTTTTGCTGATGGTTGATCTATAGCATTCCTATTATTACAAGTTCTATAACAGTGATGATTTTCTTACCTTCTTCACCAGGTAAACTATCAGCTGATCGTTTTGAAGCTGTTCGTCTAAAAAATATGAATGCTTACGTTGAATAATACTCATTGAAATACAAACGATGCTGAAGTGATCATTTCTTCTTCACTAGATATAATTTCATTAAGAATATCTTCATCATTACAATATCGTTTGAATAAATCACGTTGTTTCACAGCTGATTCTATTTAAAATTTTGTTTTTATTAATCGAATAAATAGATTAATTATATTAACCTGGTGTAATATCATTTATCATATGTACCAATAAACCGATTGTTTCTTTAGAAGGACTATCCGATGTATTGATAAGTTGTTGAAGTACAACTAAAGAATATTATAATAAATAAACAAATGAAAAATTTTATTTTTTACTAAAAATATGATTAATATGAGATTCTATAATGATTGTTTTGTAAAGAGATATTAGTTCTTGTCGAATAGTTGATTTTAATTTTGGTTTAACATAAACAATATCCTGATTTAATAAAAATGATATTGTTTTTAAATTTTGAAAACAAAGAAACTAACAAGATAATGCTAGAACAAAAAAAAA